AAAGCTGTGTTCTTGCGCTTCTTGCATTCGCAAATATTTATTCCTTCTCAAATCTCTGAGGGCTCGAAGACTAGATAGAGTCTCACAATTGAACTTAAGTTGTTTAGCATTAAAGAAGGTGTTCTAAATTTTAAAAGACAGATTTCAGATGATAATATAAATTAAAATCAAAGATGATTTAGATACAGAATTGTAAATTCATTAAGCTAGGATAGATGATGAAATACTTTCTCTAAATTACAAAATATAATGGACTGGACATTATAAGTGTGTATCATACCTTATAATTTGCATAATTGTCATAATTGTATTTGCAGTGGTAATATTTTAGCCTGCTCTAAACTTGCACTTCTTGCTACAATTCCAATGTTATGGATTCGTGAATTAAAGGCACACACACACTTTCATTTTAATATGCCTTAAACAATGCAATAGCTAAGCACTTCCAAACCTCCCCACAGCTAACCCCCTGTCCCCTCTGATATTCCTGAATTACTTACTAAAACCTATATTCCACCCTGGCCACCACAGACCCAGGCCTACAGCCCTCCTGGGCCATGATTCCCAACTCTTACATGTCGGCACTGTCTCTGTCTCTCTGTCCTGCACTTCCCAGGCTAGAACCTTCTCCTTCCCCGACAATGGCAATTCTCCTCCTCTCTAGGGTTCCTTGCCCAGGAACCTCAATGTTTCACCTCTGTCTCCCTGCCCAGCCATTGGCCACTGGCAACTTTATTTACCAATTAGAGCCAACTGAGGGGTCAGGTACCCACAGCAACTTACATGCAGATATTTTAATTCCTGTGTAATTTGGGAAGCCATAATGCAAGCATTAAATCAAATGGGGGGGTAGGTAGGGGTTACATCCACAGAGAAGAAGGAGGAGGGGTGAGGGGATGGGGGTTCCCGTGTGGGTGGGGGATGGGGTAAGGGGACAACATATGAAATGTAAATAAAACATCCAATAAAAAATTTAAAAAAATAAATAAATCAAATACATAACAATGATTTAGGTACAGAATTGTAAACCCATTAAGTTAGGATAGATGATGAAATACTTTCTCTAATTTGCCCAATATAATGGACCAGATGTTATAAGTATATATCATACCTTATAACATGCATAATTGTCATAATTGTATTCAATTACTATCTGAGAGAAAAGGAGCCTTTTTTTTGTTTGGACTAAAAATGAGAATTGTTGAGGTTTTCTTTTACTGTGTATTGTAATGCCAAGTGCAGCCCCCAAGACGAGTGAGTCTGTATGTAGACCTAAGTGATCCTGCCACCAGATTATTTCTGATTAGTAAATAAAGATGCTAACAGCCAATAGTTGGGTAGAAGAGACATAGGTGGGGTTTAGGTTTTCAGGGCTTGGGGTTGGAGGAGAAACACAAGGGGAGAAAAAGGTGGAGGAGAAAGGAGAAGCCACCATGGGTTAGGTGAGTCATGAAAACATGGCCCTGAGGGCTGGGCAATTGGAGTTAAAACCAGCTCAGCTGGAACGTATAAAGTAGTAAGTAATAATTCGAAGATATCAATAGAAAAGTAGATTCTAACAGCATAGAAGGTAGGTATCTGCCCAACTCTTATGCTGGTCAAGGCTTATTGTAAATATAAAGGTTATGTGTATGTTTTATCTAGGATCTAAATGGTTAAAGATAGGGTAGAAACCCCAGTACGGATTAAAAGTTTCTACAACATCACAAAGGCATGAAAGTCTGAAAAATGCATTTTTTCCTACATGGCATGAGATATTTATTCTGTAAGGCTAAGACTCAGAGGTGGTTGGAGAGAGGGGAGCAGTAGGTTGGGCCCCATCATCTAAGGTGCTCTGGAGAATGCTAATGGATTTATGAGGCACTCATCAGCCTTACATCATCTCCTCCTTTATCTGTGTGTCTTGTTTGCTGGGTTAGCCTGTTAACACTAGCTTTTCTAACATGTCTGAACTTCTCTTCCTAAATGCAAACATACAGAATCAGACACGTTAATTATAGAAAACGCTTACCTGGGTCAAATCCAAGAACATGTTTCTTCAGCTAAGCCAACCCAGACCACATAGTGAGACCCTACCTCAACAAAGAAAAACTTGCATGAAAGTATTTAATATCTCGATCAGCAAATCACTGGGTCATCCTGTGTGGCCCAGAGATAGCATCCTGAGCATTTGCTGTCTTGTTTTTGAGATGCAGTCTCACCAGACAGCCCAAGCTCGCCTTGAACTCTGTCCTCTTACTCAGCCTCCTATGTTAGTGACTTTCTAGGCATATGCCCCTGCACCTGGCTGACATCACTTGCTTTTCAAGACGTTTGCATTACGGCTATTTTACTAGCACCCACTTATGAAGCTGGAAGAAAATATAATATTAATATTGGGATTAAAGACAAGATACCAGCTACAAATGTGGCCCAGTGGAGACACCATACCGTCCAATTGCCCTGTGAATATGTTTGGAGAAAATGTAGTCGTGAGTCATAAGATGGGAGATCACAGAAAGGGAGAGACTAAAAGCCTACAGATGCTTCTCTATCTCTACCATTTTCCTATGTATCTGTTCTCTGATGGATAAATAAGCAGGTAATGGTCTCTTCATTGATTATAATCTACTCACTTTTTAATCCTGTTTGTTCTCATAAATAACAGTTCAAAACAACCACTTGAGAGTATCTACTTCTCGTTCCTCAGCTGTTAGGTACAGCATAGAAAAGCCTTATGAGAATGTTCTGTTGTAACAAAGTAAGAATATTTGCATGTACAAGTGGGAGTTAATGCCTCTGTGTGTGCAAGTACATGTCTGCATGCATATGCTCTTCTTCTGTTCTTATAAGACACTGTCAATTCTCTGTAATTGTTCTATTTAGAGTTGAATTTGTAGTTAAGTAGGTGACTGGTTGGTAATCTTTATGTTATAAAATGGACACATATCACAATTAGAATATGCTCGCTCACTCAGAAAACTCATAGGTTATAAAAGGTTTAATTCTTGATTCAGTAGAAACCCCATACCAAAAAAAATTCATATGACTTTAGCATTAATTCCCAAAAGCTAAGTAGAATATAGAGTGATATTTTTATCATGAACTAATATTTTTCAATATTAAAGGATTGATCCACAATATAAAAATTTGAATTATGTAGTAATTTTACAATATGAGTAATTTAGAAAAATGCCTACTAACTAAAGTCATTAGTGCTAAAGGATAAAATCTTAGGCTACTGAACTAATTAGGACCAATCACCCCACATCATCCAGCTCAGTGGTTCTCAAACTTTAGCAAACCTATATCCCCTCTAGGGCTTGTTAAAACACAGATTGAACTCCATCCCAGGATTTCTGATGCAGTAAGTCAGGGACAGAGCTCCAAACTGTATTCCCAACACACTCTCAGGCAATGCTGCTGGTGTATGGACCACACTTTGAACATCACTGCTCTCATTCAGCTCTCTTAACTATCTATGTTTTTGTCAATTGAAAGGACTGTCTTATTCTATAAGAAAAGTGCTATCCAGTGATTTCTTAACCACCTGAAGAGTAACCAAGGAAAATGGCTATAAAGTTTTGACAGAGAATACCCAGATTCTGTGCACACTGTGTATACATTCCTGTGACCTCAGCATGTCCCTCTGAGATAGCTATTACCATGACACCCATTTTGCAAGTGAAATAGCAGGGAAACTAAGCTCAGAACCCAGGCAAAATTTTAACCCTTTATGCTGCTCTTGCTACTCTGGGTATTAAATAGGAACTTAACTACGCTCATTGATCCACCAGGAATAATGATAACTAGTGGCTAAGGATGTATCTCAGTTGGCAGAATGGTTGCCTACCATGCCCCAGGATAGCATAATCCAGGCATGGCAGGACATGGCAACTGTAATCTCAGCAATCAGGAAGAAGAGGAAAGAGGTTCGAAGTTTAAGACTATTCTTGTGCTCCTTGGAATCTGAGGCCGGGCTGAAGATGAAACCTTGCCTCTAAACACACAAGCAACCATTTTTACAAGTTGAATAATAGCTTATAATATATTCACATGGCTACAAATATGTCTTTTTTAAAAGTTAACATGCATATGTGCTGGCGTGTCCATCTGTGTGACTATATATACACATGTGTGTGGGTTCGCTCAAATGTCAGAAGAGGGTATCAGATCACTTGGAACTGGAGTTACAGGCTTTTATGAGCTGTCTGATGTGGCTGCTGGGGTTCGAACTCTGGTCCTCATGATTAAGCAACAAATGCACTTGAATGCTCAGCCATCTCTACAGCTCCAAACATGTCTCTTACATACTACATTCTAAATGTAGCTAGATGATTTTAAAGAAAATATGAACAAACACTTTAAATGAGTGCTCATGCTGGGCTGGAGAGATGGCTCAGTGTTTTAAGGGTACTTGTTGACCTTCTAGAAGACCTAAATTTGATCCCAAGCTTCCATATGGTTGCTCACACCTGTCTGTAACTCCAGTTCCAGGGGATCTGATGCCCTCTTCTGACTTCCAAGGGTATCAGACATCCATGTGGTACACAGACACACATGATAAAAATAATTTGGAAAGAAAAAAATGTAAAAGTGCCCATGAACATACAAAAACATGTTCTATTTAAAACAAATGGCTAATTTTCAGTAGCAAATTACGAAAATGGAACTTTCTTCACATCTATGTTACTTACGTAACAATTACAAGAACTAGATATCAACTTGGTAGGGCTGAATATGAAATGTGCGTGACCCAAGGGCCTTAGGGACAGATGAGAACATTCAGAGTGTTTCTCTCTGCTCTCTTTCAGTTTAATCTCACGGTGTCTCTTCAGGCACTAGAGAAGGAACTGAGATGAGCCCGCTGGGTGCCACGCACATGAAAGTACTTTGATGAGCAAATAATGTGGAAACATTTTACAGTTGATACCATTCATATACGTGGACTGAAAACCATCAGGAAGGTCAGAATAAAGAGCATGGTTCTAAGTGGTCATTTCTCCTGCTTTCCTTGGCAGTACGTGTCTTCATACGTTATGGACTTGAAAAGCGAAGTCTTTGAGGAATTCCTTAAACACCTGTGCCACCGCGCAGACGAATTCCAGGAGATCATAATGACTGACATTCGGAGGCAGATGTTTGCTGAACTCTTCCTACAGTGCGACAGTGGGAAGGTAGGTGAGATACCATGAACTCCCTCCGATTCTCACCGTTTGATGTGAGGGACCAGCTTTGATGTGCTGCTTGTTAGTGACATTCTAAATTTCTAATATATCGAGTTTGATAATGGTGACCTACTGACCATTATTTGATAATGAAATTGATTACTAAGGAGGAAAAGAAATACAGAGAGTACAATCTACCACTTTAAACTTTTAAAAAGATTAACATCTGCCAGGCAGTGGTGGCGCACGCCTTTAATCCCAGCACTTGGGAGGCAGAGGAAGGCAGATTTCTGAGTTCGAGACCAGCCTGGTCTACAGAGTGAGTTCCAGGACAGCCAGGGCTACACAGAGAAACCCTGTCTCACTCAAGAAACCAAGAAGAAAAAAAAAGATTAAAATCTGACTTATCAGCCACTTGCTCAAATTGCTAGAAAGTTTTCTAGCTCCTATTCTAGAAAGTCTTCGTTTGTACCTATCTTATTATTTTTAACTTGTTGTAGGTCTATCTTTTGTGTGTGTTAAGTGCCACCAGAGGCTAGAGAGGGCTTAGTGATTGGAACTGGAATGACAGGCACCTGTGACTCTATCTGGGTTCTAGGATCTGGACTTTGGTTGTCATGGTTGAACAGCCAGTGGACTTAACTAGCCCCATATGCTAGATCTTAAAAAACAAAAATTCATATTCAAAAGTGTTTCTAAGAATGAGGTTTAGAGGAGAGTTGAGAGCCAGGGTATCAAATAGACCTGCCATAGTAGATACAGGTTTAACTGAAATACAATTAATAAGCCTTCTGTTGGTTTATTTGTACCCCATGCTTTGTTAGTGACTTTCTAATGCAATACTGTCTAACTTTAAAACATCTCCAGTCTCACACCCACTGATCACCATCCCCCTCTTCTACACTAAGAGTTGCAACAGAATGTCATGTTACTATATAAAAAGCAATGACAACTCAAAGCTAAGTGGATGCCTGCTGTAATGTCAGCAGGTCCAGCCTCTCAGCGTATTCCCTGAGCTACAGTTCCTCTACGCATCTTCCCCGACAGCCTCCACATCAAGAAAAGAGCATCTGGAGCCTGCCTCTGTTATTTTGTTCTCTCTACAAACTTTAGATATATGTTGTTGGCATTGACCTTACATCTTACAGACTGACAACAAAATGCCAAGGATGGTTTTGAGTACCTTCCCACACCAAGAGACAACGGTGGTATAAGAACACAAAATGCCTTTATATTGACTTCATTTATTTTAAAACTTTATTTCATTTTATATGTATGCTTGGTTTTGCCTGCATGTGTGCATGTGTACCACATGTGTGCAGTGCCAGTGGAGGCTAGAAGAGGGCACTGGAATTTCTCCAATTGGAGTTTTAGGAAGTTGCGAGCCACCGTGTGTGTGCTAGGAGCTGAACCCAAGTACTCTACAAGAGCAACAAGTGTTCTGTGACAGTTTGAAAGAGACATTGAATTTGGGCATTTCAATACTTGATTCCAGTTGGTGGTGCTGTTTGGGGAGGTTTAAGAGGTGCAGTCTTGCTGCAGGAAGTATGTCTTGGACAGGCTTTGAGACGAAAAAGCCTCACCTTCTCCCAGTTTGATCTCTCTGATTCATGGATGGCTGAGATGTGAACTCTCAGCTTCAAGAACTCTCAGCATAAGCTACCTTATGCTAGGTGTCATGTCTACCACCTGCAACCATGCTGTCTACACCATGATGGATTCTAACTCTCTAGAACATAAGCCCAAGTAAACTCTTCTATAAATTGCTTCATCCTGGTATTTTAGCACAGCAGCAGAAAAGTCACTGACACATGCTTTTAACCCCTGAGCCATCTCTCTAACGTCCTACTTCTCATTTTAAGATGTTAATATGTATAACTTACTCAGCTTCCAAAGGCTGCCTCATGTAAACCACTAACACCATTTTCATCCGTGGATGAACCAGCATAGAGGTCTGGGTAGAGAAGCAAGATGAGAGCCTCTGGCTATGGAAGAAGTCAGCTGATCCATAGCACCTGGCCAAATAGACCGGACCTGCTCTCGAAAGAAGTTTGGACAAGGGAAGGGCTGCTCTGGGGGAAACCTCCCTTCAGGAACTGTGAAGACAAGGAATAACTGGCAGAAAATCTCTGGAAATGGACATGATAGCACTACCAGTCAAGTACCCCATCTATCTCGGAAGAAAAAAGTTTGAGTAAACCATACTGTTGAAAGTAAGAAAGCTAAATCAGGCATGGTGGTGCACACTTGTACTTCCAGCACTTGGGAGGCAGAGACCATGGATCTATGTGAGTTCAAGGCCAGCCTGGTGTACATAGTGAGTTCAAGGACAGCAGCGCTACATAAAGAGACCATGTCTCAAAATAGACAGCAGCAACAACAACAAAGAAAGAAAGTCTTTTGGAAGAGAACGGAAGTGAAGATTAAGACTGTTGAGGAGTAGAACTTGGCTACTAAACAGAAGCAGCTATTCAACTTCCTATTAAGATGAGTAACCCATTAACAGAGTTACAGTGAGACTCTGAACTCCTCGTCTTTGGGATCAATCCAAGGCTTCATGCATGCTAAGCAAACATCTACCAACTGAGCTACATTTCTAGCCCCTCAAAAGTTTCTTCTGAGCTGTGCATGGTGGTTCACCTGGAATCCCAACTGTTGGGAGGTAGAGACAAGAGGGTCAGGAATTCAAGGCCAGCCTCAGTTACACAGTGAGTTCAAGCCCAGCCAGAGAGACATGACCCTGTCTTAACAGAAAAAAAAAAAAAACCCTCCCCACAGTTTTAAGCCTTTATTAAAAAAAAAAAAACTTTAAAAGGATCTTTTCTAAGGTCCTTATTTAATTGAAGTCATTCACATTAGAAACACAGCATGAAATATCAAGTAGAGCATACTGTGAGGAAAATATATATATATACACATATATATCCCAGGCCTTGCTTTGCTGACTTGGGAATAGAGCTCTCGCAACTGGTAAACAGAAGCTAAAATCCACAGTGCCTTCTACTAGGTTTGTGTTTTGGTCAGCCATGCTTCAAAGAGAATTTATAAAGATTAAAATATGTATAAAATTAAAGATATATGAAATTATTTTTTTCTTACCTGAGATTACAATAAATTAGACACTGTAAAAGAAAAACTGGAAGAGGCTCAGCTTGGAATGTGCCTTAGTCAATAAAGTGCAGGCTCAGCTTGACCACAGTCTGTCCCCAGCACCACAGAAAACCAGGTGTGCTGGCACAAGGTTGTAACCCAGTGTTTGGGAGGTAGAAGCAGAAGTATCAGGAGTTCAACATCATTTTCATTTGCACAGAAGGGCAAGACCAGCCTAGAGTCCATGGGGTTCTAGCTTTTAAAAACAATAGAGAGAAAAGAAAAACTAAAAAAGAAGTAGCCTGATGATTGGCAGTAGAGCATCCGGACTGACGCATAGGGAGGGAGGGAGGGAGGGGATGAGGAGTGGTGGTGCCTGCCTTTGATCTCAGTGCCTGGGAGACTGAGGTAGGTGGGTTTCTGTGAGATAGAGACCAGCCTGGTCTACAGAGTGAGTTCTAAAACCAGAGAAACTCTGTCTCAAAAAAGCAAAACCAAAGGAAACAAAAGTAAAATGGATGGCAACAGTAGCAAAAATAATGGGTAGAAGACAAGGAAAAGCAGTATTACCTTAGCCATGGAGTTATAATATTATTTCAAGGTAGACTGTTATAAATCAGTGATGTATACTGTAAATCCTAGAGCAATTACAAAAAGAGGCATAGCATTAGACACATGTATATATATACATGTACATAATACATACATATATATACACACATACACACACACACACATATATATATATATATATATATCAATAATTAGAGAAAAAGAGGCCATGGATTTGAAAGAGAACAGAAGTTTTGTGGAAAGAGTTGAAGGGAGGAAATGATGTAATTATACAATGATCTGAAAAAAATCATAAAAAATAAAAAAGAAGACAGGAAAAGAATAAATGAGACAAATGAAAAAACAAGTAAGAAGATGATAGATTTAAAGTAACCATAGTAACTACATCAACTGTACATTTTCTAACAAAAGTATGGCAGAGGGACTGTTTGGAAATTATAATAACACTAGTGGGAGGAGGGAGGCCAAGAGAAGATAATGGGGAGCAAATAAGATAAATATATTTTATTAAAGTATTAAAATGTCATGGCAAAGGCTATCTTTTTGTATAATTAATATACGCAAATAAAAGGGATATGAAGATAAAACACATTTATAGGCCTAAGCAGTCCAATCAAAATATATTGTCTAGTTATATAAAAATGAAAGAACTAAAAAGAAAAAAATAGAAAAGACAAAAGAGAAAAAACAGATTAGCAAACGAAAAATTCAAGAACTGGTATGAAGACACTAGTTCATCTTAAAAACGAAAGGCTGGGAGAAGACATACCATAGAAATGGGTTGGCTCTAAGATGGTCCTAGAGAGACCACCAGACAGCCTACAGCTTCATCATGCTAAGTAGCACCCTGGTGCTATGGCAGTTGGCACTAGCTATGGCAGGACCATAAAGAGCCACAAGGAGAAGAGAAGGGGCATCTGACTCCCAGGAAAATGACTGCTATTGTTGTCCTTCAGACAGGGAAAGTCCTCTCCTTTACCGACCTCTTTTCGCCACTCTTTTCTTTGCCTTGTATTTGTGAATTCCTGACAACCAGAAGTTGAGAAGTTGATTTGAGAGTGTGTCTCTCACGTCTGTTCTTTTCTTTCTTTGTGTCTTTCTCCAATGTCAGAATTTACTGAATAACAATAAATTCGCAAGGCATGGAAGTTTCAGTAGCAACAATTTAACAGATGTTCCTGCTTTCCTTGACAGTCCTGGCTGGGGCAAACACAAGGTTATTTATTCCCGTCCTAACAGCTAATGTTAATTCTCATGCCACACATTACACACCACAGAGTAAACACATGTACACATGCATGCACACACACACACACACACACACACACACACACACACACGCACACATGCATCTATGTTGCAGGAAAAACTATAAGGGGTTAAAGAAGTAAAGAATTTCAAGGAGGCCTGAGAATCCAGAGGTGAGAAACTGATCAAATTCTAAAGAAGTCTATGAGAATGAGATACAGAACCAGCTCAAAGTTTCCACAGAAGCTCTGTGGCTGCTGTTTTAGAGTCAGGCTGCAGTTCAGAGTTGGACAGGGAGATGGGGAGAGGGCCGATGAGAAGACCATAGGCCTTCATCTTCAGAGACTAAGCCAAGCGTCAGCCCCTAAGGAAGTCAAATGCCAGATGACAGGCTGGTGGAGCTGTGGGCATCGCAGTCTATTGCATCCCAGAACTAGGAAAAGCGTCTCCTTTACTGCTCGGCTGCTATTAGGTCATTATTAGTTTCATAGTTCCAAAGAAAGTGGGGAAAGACCCAGTTTACAACAAAAGCTATTCCATTTATTTACTTTAGAAAAACATATCTAAATTACACAGGATGTGTATGTAAGATTTTTCATTGAAGCATATTTTCCTCAAAATACTAGAAACAACCTAATTTCTATTACTAAAAGAATTCTAAGAAATTATGTTTTTATATTATACTATATAGGAGTTAAAGTGAATAAAGTAAACTTTTTCTTTCAAGATTGATTTAGTTTTTACCTAAATATACCAGAAGAGGAAGTTGGATCCCCAGGAACTGGAGCTGTAGATGGTCATAAACCACCATGTGGGTGCAGAGAGCTGAACCTGAGTCCTCTGCAAAAGCTGCAAGTGATCTTAACTGCTGAGCCGTTTCTCCAGCTCCTAAAATGAATAAAATATATTTCTTTATCTGCACAAATTAGATCCCAGTGTTGAGTAAGCCTAAGCATTTTGAAAGCCAGACATGGTATCATAAACCTGCAGTCCCAAAACCTGGAAAGGCAAAGCAGAATATCAAGTTCTAGGCCAGCCTGGGCCACTTACCAAGCCTCAGGCCATACTGGGCTACATAGCAAGATCTTGCCTCAACTCCCTTCCAAAACCACAATTTCAAAAGGCAACTTAAACCATGCTACATATATTTTATCAATCTAATACAGTTTTGTGTGTGCTTTTTATGTGTATGTACATGCACATGTGTGTACGCTCATACATGCACATGTGTGCACATGTAGAGGTCAAAGGATAACCTTGGGTGTTGTTCTTTTTTTTAATTCTTTGAGGCAGAATCTCTCCCATTAGCCTGGAATTTCCCACGTCAACTAGACTGGATGGCCAGAGAGCCCCAGCGATCCGCTTGTCTCCACCTCCCCAGTGCAGGGGTTACAAAGACTCACTGCCACACCCAGCTTTTTATGTGGCTTCTGCGGACTGAACCTTGTGCCTGTGAAGCAAGCACTTTTCACCAACTGAGCCATCTCCCAACCCCTGTGTGTACTTTCAACAATTGTTATTTCCAGCTCCTAAGATCACAGTGGTGTTAGCTTTGTCATTTCTTTTTTATGTTTCTCCACAATTAAAATGTTCTCAGAATAATGTATGAAGGACAGGTAAGGATCAGTTAACTGTATGTGACATACACCCATCATGTTACATAAGAACTGAGCACTGTGCATTGAGTTCAACAAGTCACGCCAGTCCCAACAAATATTTTTTTAGATATCCACTAAGCCCAAGGCATCGTGACATGTGACAAAACGGGAGAATTAAGTGTAAGCCTACAGACAAGATGCAGCTTCTTGATTTTGATGCGGTAGCTTTTATTTCCATAGTGATAATAAAGCTGGTGGTGGTCTCAATGATAGACCATTCAGGAAGTCATGATCTAGCATCATGAAGATTTTAAATGTGCTGCAGCTACTAATTACATACTTTCCGTGTAGGTGATGGCCTTGGATCGGCAGAGGACACTGGCCTTGCTGGAAGCGTTCTATGATCAATGCTCTTCCACCACTAGGAGTTTACTTCGAAACCCAAGGCAATGTGAGTGTGGCTCAGAGGGAGGAGTGTGCTGAAGCTGGGTGTCGCAGTACAGTGATAGAGTACCGTGGGATTGTTTTACTCCCCAGGGATCCCACGCATGTCCCCAAGTCACGGCAGCTGTGCCTTATCTACTTGTTCCTATTCCCACAAAATGTACTACTCTTCCTCACAACTAGACGGATTTTCACCAGAGAGCAATCGTCAAACCTGTGTCCTATCAGAACTCAACTAGAACAGCTTTTAAATTTGTTTCAATGAAGAAAGGCTTTGATGGTAATCTGAATGCTTCAGCAACTAAGTTAAGAATGGTTATTCAATTTATAATTGCAATTTAAAATTCTAAGGTTTCTACAGAAGATATGTCCTTTGCCAAAGCAGCTTTACTCACATGCTTTTATGGTAAAATATACATATATACCTACATGACAAAATATTCTTTTATATGTTTATCAATAAAATGATTACAGAGTTGTTGTTTTTTCATTATTGTGTTTCCTTATTTATTATGGATGAGAGAGTGCCATAGCATTCCCGTAGATGTCAGAAGACAGCTTGCAAGTTCTCTCCTTCCACCATGTGAGTCCAGAGGATCCAACTCGGATCCTCCCTCTGCCTTGGCAGCAAACTCGTTTACCCAAGGCATCCTCCTGCCCTATTTTTCTTTTTTAAAGAGAATGTCTTTCAGTGACTGGTTTGTCTTATTTCTGCATGTAGACTTATTACTTGGAGACTTAAGACTCTGTGGGTGCTGTACTAAAAACTGTAGGAGCCACAGTTAAAGCTTAATTACTAAATACTCTGAGAATGGGGACAGGCACGAATTCCAGGATTTTGTGGAATTTTATCTGAGGGGGATGCTTCCTCAGACGGAGTCTCACTGTATCCATTTTGAGAACTCTCAATCTCCCCATCTCACATGAATGCCAGCATCATGGACAGTGTAGTCATATCCAGCATATTTTGTTGCTTTTTAACAAGTGAAATCCTAGTGACTACTATCCAGTCTTTCCTTAAAGTCCTTTCTTCTTCCCTCCATCTCTCCCTTTGTGTCTCCCTCCCTTTCTTTCTTCTGTACTAGAAACTGACCTTACATTAAACATGCAATCAACCCCCACACTGCACTCTTTTAGCTTTTGTGTAAAATTCTAAAGCATGCAACCTTCCTAAGTCTTGGAAGAAAGAGTTGAGGAATGACAAATTGAAGGAAAAGGAAGGGTAGAAATCGAACTGAGTGAAAGATAGCCGTCGGTAAGGCTGGCCTTCATTTGTATAATGGAGAATTCTTAATTTGTTATTATTTGAGTGTGATGTGTGGGGTGGGGGTGCATGCACGCCACAGAGCACATGTGGAAGTTGGAGGGCAACTCTGTGGAATCTATATTCTTCCTCTGCCTCTATATGGACTCTAGACAATCAAATTGAGGTCATCCATGGTGTGCAGCAAACACAACTCTCCAGCCTGTTTTGTAGATATTTTAAAAGATATTTGAGAAGAAAAGACAGTTCCAGTCCCCATATCTACTCTGTGCTTATTGTGAGGAAAGGGACCACAACAGTAAGGGACGAATTTCATTTGTTTTTAGCAATTCAAGCAACAGTCTAAATAACAAAAGAAGAAATATGTTTGTTTTGTAAAATGCACCTTCCAGGAAGAGTGGATAACTAGTTTTAAGATAGTGAGGATTCTTGTGTTCCCTTGAGTATCTAGTTGCAGCAAAATGGTTCCTGATATTTTGTTTTGTCATTGTTTAAGACAATATCTCTTTATGTATGGAACTTGCTATGTTGACTAGGCTAGAGTCAAAACTCACAAAGATCTGTCTGTCGCTACCTCCTGAGTGCTGGGTTAAAGGCATACGTCAGTACATCCAGCTCTGATATTTATTTTAAAGTAATAAGCTTATGTAATAATCACTGCCCTCAATGACATTTTATATTAATTCTATAATTCTGATTCTGTACTATAAGATCAATTGTTTAGATAAATCCTTTGTTTTATGCATTAGGGCCATTTGTCGAATTTGAGGAGATAGAGTTGACTGAGTTCTGGGGAGACATGGATATTAAGAAGCACATTTATGAAGACTTTGATGCACTGCTCTTAAAGATGAATATGTTAGTTGCTGAAAAACTTGCAGGCAAACTCCCAGAAAACAACGATCTTCCACAAGAGCAGACAGAGATCAGTACAGAACAAGAACTTCCATCAGACTCAGCAGCGGAGCCAGGAACTGCCCCACAACTCACCTCCCAAGAGAAACCCCACAGAGCGTCACTTACAGGACAAGGACAGGACAAAAGGCCTCGCAAAACATCTGCTTCAAGACAAGGAGGAAGCAGAGGATCAGCGTCAGAGCAAGGGTCCCGAAAAAGCTCGGCAGTGGAACAAACACAGCAAAGAGGGTCAGTGGCAGAGCAAGGGTCCCGAAGAAGAAGCTCGGGAGTGGAACAAACACAGCAAAGAGGGTCAGTGGCAGAGCAAGGGTCCCGAAAAAGCTCGGCAGTGGAACAAACACAGCAAAGAGGGTCAGTGGCAGAGCAAGGGTCCCGAAGAAGTTCAGCCATGGAACAAGAGCCACAAACAGGGCAAGACCCAAACAGAGATTCAGTGCCAGAACAAGAATCACGCAGAGAATCAAGCACAGAGGGAGGATCACAGAGAGGGTCCGTTTCAGAACCTGGACAACGCAGAGCATCAATAACAGGACAACGCAGGAAGTCATCTGTAGATGACGCTAGTAGTTCTTCAGAAGCAGGGCCGCGCAGAGGATCAGTGACAGATCAAGGACAGCGCAGAGGATCCGGAGGTCAGCGCAAAGGGTCTGCAGGGAGCAAAATGTCAGCTTCAGAATATGGACCACCTCAAGAGTCCATAACAGAAGAGCCCCTCGTTGAGTCAGAACAAGGACCACAAATAGGCGCCATTCAAGAAGAACAGAATGCAGACTCAGCTCCACAATTAGAAGAAGGCGGTGCCTCAAACGAAAGTAAAACCTCAGAATTTGATAAAATGGAATCTCAAGAAAAAGAGCCTTTGGGGCTCATCAACGAAGAGCAAGTCCCCATGGATTCCGAACAGCGTGAAGAAGTTCCTACATCCAGCAAAAAGGAACATCCATCAGGTAGCCCCAAAAAAGACCACCTTTCAGGTAGTTATTTAGTTCTATAAAATCATCTCTTTTATAGATTTTTGAAATAATTTTACAAAATTTTCAGTTTTCTGGAGTGGCCGTTAAAAAGTCTTTTTGGAAAGTACTCATTTAAGTTAGGATCTTTGCTGGCTATCATGTCATGTAAACCACAGGCCTATTTTGGTATTCAACCCTTGAGTCTAGACATTGAAGTCTCAACTAAATGAAAACCAGAATGCTTATTATTAATTTTCCTAGAGTTTCGTTTGTACCAAAACTCCATTAATAAGAAATCTAGCAGCCGGGCAGTGGTGGTGCACGCCTTTAATCCCAGCACTTGGGAGACATAGCAGGCGGATTTCTGAGTTCGAGGCCAGCCTGGTCTACAGAGTGAGTTCCAGGACAGCCAGGGCTACACAGAGAAACCCTGTCTCGAAAATGTTTTAATGGGGGAGGGGGGCGGGAGATGTTTTGTTTTTATTTGTTTGGATTTATTTATTTATTTATTTATTTATGTCTTTTGTTTTTCGAGACAGGGTTTCTCTGTGTAGCCCTGGCTGTCCTAGAACTTGTTCTTTAGACCAGGCTGTCCTTGAACTCAGAGATCCACCTGCCTCTGCTTCCCAACTACTGGGATTAAAGGCATATGCTGCCACCACCCAGCTTTTAATTGGGTTATTTTTGTAAAGGAAGACACATTTCTGTGTTAAATGCAAGTCACTTAATTTTTCTATATTTCAACAATTAAATGGGTCAGGCATAGTGGCATATGCCTTTAATCTCGGCACTGAAGTGACAGAGGAAAGTGGATTGCTGCCAGTCTGGCCTATGTAATGCATTCCTGACCAGCTAGGGCTACATAGAGAAAACATGTCTCAAACAAACAAACAAACAAAACCAGGCTTTTGCTTCTTTCATTTCTGAATCTTTTCTAGAAGAGTTTCCAAAAGCTGTATTTCAGACAGAGGACACTCTAAACTTTTTTTAAATTTTTATTTTATGTGCATGGGTGTTTTACATGTCTGCACCATGTGTACAGTACCCACAGAGACCAGAAGAAGATGACAGATCCACTGGAGTTGGAGCTACAGATGGTTGTGAGACACCATCTGGTCTGAGAGCTGGGAGCTCTCAGACAGAATCTAGGAGCTGAGAACAAAGCCTAGACCCTCTTCAAGCACAAGTGCTCTTAAATGACTAAGCCATCCCTCCAGGCCCCTGAATTTCCATTTGTATTCTTCCCATTAATTAGAATTTAGACATCTAGCAACACTTTGCTATAAGAGAGACTGGAGGGTAGGGGGAGGCTGGAGAGATGGCTCAGTGGTTAAGAGCAGTGACTGCTCTTTCAGAGGTCCTGAATTCAATTCCCAGTAACTACATGGTGGCTCACAACCATCTTTAATGGAGATCTGATGCCCTCTTCTGGTGTGTCTGAAGACAGCAACAGTGTGCCTTCATACATGAGATAAATAAATAAGTCCTTAAAAAAAAAAATAAGAGAGACTGGGGAACATAAACCTTACTTTTGTGGCCAAACAGCTTTCACCACAGAGCCTCTCTCAACAATTAAAGTTATTAAGTGTTTTTATTATGGTTGCTTACGAAAGACTTACATAGTGAAGGACTTGGGGTTTGGGTTGTTATGTCTGCAAAGAATTTGTCTCATCACTAAACTCAGAATGTCTAATGAATTATTTCTACCCATAAGAATTTTCTTCTCTCTCTCCTTCTCTCTTCTCTCTCTCTGTCTCTCTCTGTCTCTCTGTCTGTCTCTCTCTCTCTCTGTCTCTCTCTCTCTCTGTCTGTCTCTCTCTCTCTGTCTCTCTCTCTCTCTGTCTGTCTCTCTCTCTCTCTGTGTCTCTCTCTCTCTCTCTCTCTCTCTCTGTCTCTCTCTGTCTCTCTGTCTCTCTCTCTGTCTCTCTCTCTCTCTCTGTCTCTCTCTCTCTCTCTCTCTCTCTCTCTGGTCAAAGGAAAACTTTCAGGAGTATTTCCATCTAGCATAGGAATCCTTTGATTAAATTCAAGTCGTTGGGTTTGACAGCAAGCACTGTCACCTGCTGTGTCGTAACACCAGCCCTGCCATTTTCTTGTGTTTCCCTTAGGAACTTCAAAAAGGGATTCTCAGAAAGACAAAGCCTGTGAACCAAAGCCCCAACATGTAGAAGGAAAAAAATGGTCAGGTAAGTCCTCACTTAACCTTCCTTTCCTTTGTACCCTAGAGGAAAGACCTGGTTAAAACGAAATGAAATAAAATGGGTTGTGTTGTATAATGTGTCTTTCACAGGAGAATTTTTGATTTGTGACTGGAAGATGAAGCATGTCAAATCTGAAGATGAGGAACAGGCCAAATTAATCTGTGATGACTCCAGATTCACAGGTACATTTTTAATAAACTAGGAAAGGCAGGTGACGGCCTAATACAGGACTTCAGTTCACCACTGCACCTCCTGAAGTTGGGGTTTAGCTAAAGCACACCGAAATCCTTATACTGTCTTGTCCCTGGAAACTGACAGACCTAAATGGAAGCACGATGGGTGTTTTTGGCAGCAGTGTGCTATTGGTGGTGACATGTACTATTGGTGATGGATTACCATTGGCGAATGCTTAGAGCATCTAACATTTAAATATCTAGCAGCGCTATACTTTAACTACTACATTGCCGTAATACTGCTTGATCCAAGCATATGAAAGGACACAGATATTAGATATTAAAACTCAATAAAAATAACTATTTTCCTAGTAGGTCTATACCCAAACATGTTAGAAAGGCGAGAGTCTGTCTTGTTTACAAAGACTTAACAGTGAAAAGAAACTGTTGAACAGATGGAAGGGCGGTTCTTAGCTATCTGATAAGCCACATGTTTAGCTATGATTGTTTTGAGTAATGCTCAGAGTTTTTTTAAATGACAATTTATTATACTTTCTTCATCACTTTAAAAAGTACAACTAGGGGGCTGGAGAGGTGGCTCAGCAGTTAAGAGCACTGACTGCTCTTCCAGAGGTCCTGAGTTCAATTCCCAGCAACCACATGGTGGCTCACAACTCTCTGTAATGGGATCCCACTTCCTCTTCTAGTGTGTCTGAAGACAGCTACAGTCTACTGTACTATAAATAAAATAAATAAAATAATTTTTTAAAGTGCAACTAATCATAGTTTAAAGCAAGATTCTTTTCTATCTGCAATCTTCTCATTTAAGCCTGAATTAAATCTAATTAATTAATTGGTGCTTGTTCATGTGATTTATACATGTGTGGTACACATGGCTGCAGGTTGGTGATATATCTTCTTCTGCTGTGGACACCTTACCATTGTACATGGAGTCTTTCCCAGAACCTGGAGCTTGCCATTTCAGCCTGACTGCGTCCCCCAGCACTGGGGTTTAAGCACTGTACCCAGTTTTTTACATGGCTGCTAGGAATCTAAACCAGCTCCTCAAGGTTGCCCAGCAAGCAGTTTACACACTGAGTCATTTTCCAAAACCCAAATCATGCTTTCTTTCCTCAAAATATTTTAATGAACATGTATAACATTTGTTAAGCTCCTATGGCTCGCAAGCTCATGTTCTTCATCTATGTCAATTTTTATTGACAACATTTTTAGAATCTCACGAGAAATGATTGTTTCTGAGTTATCAGATGCTCTCATAGGAGGCACAAGTGACTGGATCTATGAGTGGTGTAACACGAGTCAGTAGGATGACATGTTATGGAATATAATGTTGTGTCATTGAACGTCAGGACAAATATATTGGCCAACGATCTTAGGGGGAGGAGTTGGTGTATAGCATTTACGAAAGCATTTAACTGATTAGTCTGGCGGTAGCTGCTTTATGTGCACCTGCTCCAACAGAGCACGCTCTCTCTCTCAGCCATCTCCTCTGCATCACTCTTGATTTTAGGCAGCTTTCTTCACATTGTCTCAAAAACAACCACAAAAGCATCCATCTATGTATTACATGCTACTAACTCAACAATCAGAATACAAACCCAAAACCACCCTGGTGGTTCTCAAAATAGTGCTGAGGCTAACTCTGTTTGGCCTAGAGCAGGTTGCACTGTTGTTACAAATGAATTCTTGGCCAAACCTTACATCATCCATCCAAGCAGCAAGGGTGGGAAGACTCCGTGCCCTCTCTAAACTGACAGTGGAAGAGAATTGTTCTCCCAGTGAAACTACAGTTGCTGTCATCATAGAGAGAGAACATGGATTCCCAAGAGGCAAAACCATTGATATTGGTGCCAGGTTTTATCTCTGTGGTAGAGCTCTTGTTTAGAATATGCAAAACCTTGTAGCCAATCACCTACACCCAAACAAAGTGATGGGAGGTGTCCATAATAACAGGTGCTTACTTTTTCCCTAAGGTTTGAGGGAAACAATTACTTTACTGCTTGATATGTCTTCCTGCTTCACAGACCTCCATGCGACTATTAGGAATTTTCAGGCTTACAAGGGGATCAGAGGGAGGAGTGCCTTCAATGGAGTCTCCCTCAATTTGCTGCAGTTTGTACAGCTCCTAGAGACATTTGTCGGTGAAGACACCTCCTATAGCGTCAGCAAGAACCTCACCTCCTTTTTTCAGAAGAACTATTCTGAAACGAAGCAAGAGAAAATTAAAGCCTTAGAACAGGTGGGTAACATTTACCAATGCAGCAAGTAAGGTCACTATTATCTGTAAATCCCCAACCTTGGTTCTTCCTAGTGTGCCATCTCTTTAGAAATGTACAACCAAGCCGAGACATGGTGCCGCACCCCTTTAATCCCAGCACTCAGGAGACAGAGGCAGGCAGATCTCTGTGATTTCGAGGGCAGCCTGATCTACAGAGGGAGTTCCAGGTCAGCAAGAGTTATGCAGAGCAACCCTGTCCCCAAAACAAACAAAAGCAACCCAGTATAACCATTAAATAAAGCTTTGACTGGGGCCTGGAGAGATGGCTCGGAGGTTAAGAGCACTGGTTGCTCTTCCAGAGGTCCTGAGTTCAATTCCCAGCAACCACATGGAGGCTCACAACCATCTGTAATAGGATCTGATGCCCTCTTCTGGTGTGTTTAAAGACAATGATGTACTCACATAAAATAAACTTTGATTGGTAAGACTACACTCCAGAGAACTCATTTTCCTAAAAATGACATGATTCCGTGGCAAGAGATGGCCTATGGTATAGCTTTGTTTCTGTCCTTTGAAGCCCGAGGTGCAGGCATGTGTAAATATGAAGGCATAAAGGCATGAAGGTGTGTGTGTGTGTGTGTGTGTGTGTGTGTGTGTGTGTGTGCACTGTCTGTCTTGTGGGAGCATGTGGAGATGCATATACTTACAGATGTGCTTATGCCTTGAGTATGTGTTTTTATCCACAGGCTCCCAGTTGCACACTTCCCCTAGGCACTTACTGCTTTCTTGAGTGCTAAGCGTACACACACTGCCTTATATGAGCAACTTACTCTGTCTCCTGGGAAATGTAGAAATTAGTTTCACTATGTTTATTCAAGTAATCTCATTGTCCTTATGAGTCTTCTCAGCCTAATTCCAGGCTTGATATATCTTTGGCCTGCTCAATGCAGTCTCCTTCCCATAATCAAAAAGTACTTATTTACTTGTGTGTGTGTGTGTGTGTGTGTGTGTGTGTGTGTGTATGTGCATGTGTGTGTATGTGTGTGTGTGTGTTGTGCTGAGGATCAAACCTAAGGTTTTATATATCCTAGCCAAGTGTTTGACCACTGAGCTATCCCTCTAGAGCTTGTTTTTTTGACACTGAGTCTTGCTATGTAGCCAGGCTATCATTGAATTCATAATCCTTCTGATTCAGCCTCCTGGGTTCTGGGACCATAGATATGTGCTGCTATGACTGGCATATTCATTATTTTTATAATTAAAATCAAGCTATTTAATAGTTCAATAATTGTCCATTATCTAATTAATAAAATTATTTAGTGACAATTCTAAAAAAAATCTGTTAAGATCAATGTTAGGTTAAATAAATGTTAAATATAAACATTTTTCTTTTTTCTTTTAAAAAAGTTTTTATTTTAAATTACCTGTACATGTGTGTGAGAGTCTCTGTATGTGCGCATGAGTGTAGGTACCTATGGAGGCCAGAGGCTTTGGATTCCCTGGAGCTAGATTTATAGACAGTTGTGAGCAGCCAGATAGGAGAATCTAACTTGGATCTTCTGGAAGAATAGCCAGATGTACTTGTCACTGATGAGCTGTCTCTCCAGCCTCACAGATATCTTCTTTTAATGTAGTTTTGTTGTTGATGTTGACGATGATGTTGTTGTTGTTATTTGAACACTGTCATTTATTTCTTCCTTTTATTATAAAATATATGCCCTTAAAAAGTCTGATAGAGCTGCCCACATGTTTATCCTACTTTTAAATAATCAAGAAAGGAATGGAAAGAAATAATCAAGCATCTTTAAGGAGCATATTGCCCTCTCTAATCTGAAGTGTTTTGGCCTTGCACAGAGAATCCTTGGATGTCGTTGGTTGAAAAGTGAAATGGAAGTGGCAAGTTAGGGGGTTAAATCCATCTCTGTGGTTCCCGCTATTGTCTTTATCCCAAAGCAAAGTTGCTTCAATAAGAAAAAAAAAAAAGCTACACTTTCTTTAAATGCAAAATGAAGAGTATATATATATACTTTTTATCCTGCTTGTATCCTAGGCCAGACAAAATTCCTTCCGAGTCCGACGGAAAATTCTTCTGGAAGCCCTCTTTGATAAGTGGGACAATGATGGCTCGGGCTTCCTGAATCTGAATGAAGTTGATGAGCTGCTGTATACATATAAGGAGGGGATGGAAAGAGAATCCATGAAGAAAGGTAAACAAACGACTAGCATGCTCCTAGTTAAGATGTGCCAACAACCCGGCTTTCAGTCTCTCAACACGATGCCACATACGCACAGTCAAAAACAAGTGGTAGAGGCTGGGGTGACTCAGTTGGTCATAGCTCATGCTATGTAAGCGTAGGCTCTGAATTTGGATCCCCAGCTCCTGCATGAAAGTCAGGCACTGGGGTAGGTCAGGCACCTCAGCACTGGAGAAGCAGAGTCACAGGGATCCCTGAAACATATTGGTCAGCGGGTGAGCTCAAGTTTCAGTGAGGGACCCTATCTCAAAAGTAAGATTGAGAGTAATTGAGAAAAACACCTAATCCATATGCACACACACTGGCATGTACAAGTGCACACATTCATGAATAACAGAGAGAGAGACAGAGAGAGAGACAGAGAGAGACAGAGAGAGAGAAACAGAGAGAGAGAGAGACAGAGAGAGAGAAACAGAGAGAGAAACAGAGAGAGAGAGAAACAGAGAGAGAGAGACAGAGAGAGAAACAGAGAGAGACAGAGAGACAGAGAGACAGAGAGAGACAGAGAGACAGAGAGAGACAGAGAGAGAGGGCTATTCTAAACATATCAGATATCTTTCCAAGCCTGCTGGTATATTTAATTTTTTCTTCTTCTTTCAGGCCTGGGATTAAATTTACCCCCTTTATTTTACTTTTTAAATTTCATTCTTTTAAACAGAGTTTCACCAAGCCTTTGAGGCTGAAGTTAGTGTTGTTAAATGGGAAATAGCGAGAGCTGGAGAGCATGTAGATGAACCAGAGCCTGTGTTCCTCTTCATGGAGAACAGAGTGTGTTACAGTGTTTGCAGTAGCTCTGGAGCCCAAGCTGATTCTATCTGTGAACTGATCATAGGCACTTCTGGGGCTAAAACCCAGACCATGCGTCCTGAACTCTCACTTTCTATCTGCGTTTGTAAGTTCTAAACTTTCAAGTCTGGCTGGGTCTAAAGTTCTTCTTCGTAGTCTAAGCTTTTATTCTTTCCCTTATCTATCTGTCTATCTATCTATCTATCTATCTATCTATCTATCTATCTACTGGTTTTTAGAGACAGTGTTTCCCTATGTAGCCCTGGTTATTCAGGAACCCACTCTATAAATTAGCCTGGCCTCGAACTCTGCCTGCCTCTGCCTCCAAGTGCTGGGATTAAATCAGCTTCAGTTTTCATGTTTGAATTATTATACATGGTAGGTCAGTGCTTTATCTGTGAATTATATCCCCAGGCCTCTTTTTTACTTATGACTATGAGTCAGGGTCTCACTGGCAAGGTTGGCCTTGAAATCATTGAGGTTGTCCAAGCAGGTCTTGAGTGTTTGATCCTCTTGCATCCTATCTCCTGAGTAGCTGGGATTACAAATCCATGCCACCAGGCCTGGCTGGAATAATGTCTTAAAAATCGGAAAACTCCACATCAATATTGTTCTTTTTTCTTCCTTTAACAACTGAACACCAAGTACATCCGAGCCACATGGCCTGACCTCAAAGGGAGGGAAAGTAAACTTGGTTCAAGTTCAGACTGATGAGATCCCTCCCCTCTCTCTCTTTTTTAACTTTATTGGGGGGGGGGGGGTTAATCATTTATTTATTTATTTTATGGGCATTGGTATTTTGTCTGCATGCATGTCTGTACGAGAGTGTTGAGTCCTCTGCAACTGGAGTTACAGACAGTTGTGAGCCACCATGTGGGTGCTGGGAATTGAACTCAGGACCTCTGGAAGAACACCCAGTGTGCTCTTAACCGCTGAGCCATCTCTCCAGCCCCAGTTTTTATTCTCTTTAATGATTTTTTTCTCTTCCTTTTTCTCTTCTTTTTTTTTTCTTATATTTTTGCTTCCCCTAGTTGACATAAAACTTTTTTTTTTTTTTGGTTTGAAAACTGGGACAAGGCCAGGCAGTGGCACATGCCTTTAATCCCAGCACTTAGGAGGCAGAGACAGGCGGATTTCTGAGTTCGAGGCCAGCCTGGTCTACAGAATGAGTTCCAGGATAGCCCAGGCTATAAAGAGAAACCCTGTCTCAAAAAAACAAAAACAAAACACAAAAACAAAAAAAGAGAAGAAAAGAAAAGGAAAGGAAAGAAAAGGAAACAAAAGAAAGGAAAGGAAAACTGGGACATTAGGAAGGACTAAGAAACTCTTCTGTCTCTTCCGATTACCATGCCCTTGGCACATTTGAAGATTGCAAATGGGCTGTTTGTAGTATGCTCTTCACACAGATTAGTAATCAAATCCAGATTATTCATCCTTTGACCAGATCAGAATATATAATCAAAATTCATATTGAATTCTATTCAAAAATCCTATGATAATAACATTGATAAGTTGATTAGAAAGATATCTGCTAGGCTGGGCATAGAAACCAGTAGATAGCGTTCTTGAATCACAGGCTCAAAGCCTTGAATTTGATTCCCAGTACTTCATTAGCCAGGTGCTACAGTTCACATCTGTAGAACCAGCAAGTTCAAGGCTAATCTGGGATACATGAGACCCTTCTCTCAAAAAAAAATTTTTTTCTGTCAGTCCTTCTACTTTAAAGTTACTTTTTTTGTGTGAATAGTGTTGAGTGGGTGTATTGAAAACTCAGGAAAGCTTTCTGCTTTTGCCAAACTTTTCATTGATAATAGCGTGTAACCGTTTCTTGTTTGAGTCATTGGGTTGTAACCTGATATTGTCACTATTTGTTTTAATGCCCATATTGCCCCAGATTTAGTCCTTTTTTGCCTGGCTCCTATGATCTCTCACCCTCAACATTGTATTCTGAAAATTTTCAAACATACAGCCACTCTGAAAGACTCTAACAAGGCATCTGGCTATCCATGCACAGTCTATACTCTGCCAGTGACACCACCATGGCTTCTTGTTACCGCTCTATTCTCTCCTTATCCTTTTACCATCCTTCTCCTGTACCTTCCATGAGTCCAGCCAGTACAAAGCTGAGCAATCCTGGGGGATGGGGAGGGTGTGAGGACTATAGAAAAGAAGACTCAGAGACAATGGTTAGAAATCAGGAGGGCTGTCCTGTCATTGCTGCGACAGCCTTGACTTTAATTCTCTTAGGCTTTTTGTACTTTACAGCATCGTATGAAACAAAGTCACAAGCCAGCAGAGATGATGGCTGTCGTACATTTGATATCTTTATCCATCCAGAGGCCTTCCTTAGTCATCTCTGTTCCTCCAAGATTAACAGAACTTTCAGCCCCTCGCCTTGAGCTTCAAGTGTGTCCCCTCCTATCAATCCATGTTTGTCATTCAGCAGGTCAGAAAATCTGCCACTAGACCCTGGCGTGACTTGACTCTGCCTGACAGGCAGATTTTCACAGAAGCAGGCAAACAGGCTCCCAACATCTACCTATTTCTGTTATTTTTGATACGTTTTAAAGCAAAACATATGCTTCTTCCCGAATATCATTAACTTGAGGTCAATATTTAGTTAACTGTTTTTTTCCCTCTTTGATACAAAATTGGGTGTGCAAATTTTAAGGGTGAATTTGCTGAGTTTTTGACAAATCCATAAGCAGTGTAGCTCATGCTTCTTGAGAGGAATAGAACGAAAAGCTCCTCATGTCCTTTTCCCGCACAGTCCCCACAGCACAGTCCCCAAGGCAACCAGCGAGGTTTCCCCATCAGCGTCTTTCTCGTCTAGACCTCACAAAAATAGAATCACGAAGTGTATGCTGTCTACGGAAAGACTTCTTTCGCTCAGCATGTTTCCTGAGATGCTGAGGTACTGTGGATTCTGAGCCACCAGGCAGATGGGTATTTTCGGTTTTAAAAGAAACCTCAATCTTCTCTGCCATTTTAATGACTCCATCATTCTTTGAGCTCGTCTTTGCTTTTTGATATGAGATCTTCTGGGTTCAATCTTATGCTTCACGTGTTTCCATTCATAACTTCCCCGGGAACCTTGGTATCTTTTGCTGAAAGGTGGTATTTAGAAGCCAAGATTTGAGTTATACATGTGCCGGTTTCTCCCAAGGCTCTGCTCTCTTTCTCTGGAGACAAAGATTTGCGTGTATTTGCATATTCACAGACATTGTTATATGAATATAAAACACATCTCTGTATATCTTTGTCTCCTAATATTACAAATTGTGAGCTTATACCAATACCTCTATGTCCAATTCAAAACAACAGAACTGCCGGGCAGTGGTGGTGCACGCCTTTATTCCCAGCACTTGGGAGGGAGAGGCAGGCGGATTTCTGAGTTCGAGGCCAGCCTGGTCTACTGAGTGAGTTCCAGGACAGCCAGGGCTACACAGAGAAACCCTGTCTCGAAAAAAACAACAACAAAAAATTATTTACTTTACATCTCTAATGCAGTTTTCTCTCCCTCCTCTCCTTCCAGTCCCTCCCTCTCCCCTCCCCTGCCCCACCCACCCCTTCTCTCCTCTTCCTCAGAATAGGGGAGGCCTCCCATGGATTTCAACCAGGCTTTGCATATTAAGTTGCAGTAGGACTAGGTGCATCTTCTTCTATTGAGGCAGCCCAGCTAGGGGAAAGGGATCCAAAAGCAGGCAATGCGGTCAGAGACAGCACCTGCTCTGACTTTAGGAGTCCCACATGAAGACCCAGCTGCACAACTGTTACATATGTGCAGAGGGCCTAGGTCCATCCCATGCATGCTTTCAGTCTCCATGAGCCCCTATGAGCCCAACAGAGCCCATTTTTATTTTCTCCCACTTTTATAGATCCTTTCCCTCACCACATCAACTCCACAGAGGGATGTACTTGGCATGTTTCTTAGGCTCTGATGTTCCATGTATGCCAAGGCTCTTCAGTCCCACAGATGCCCTCCGCAGCCCAGTCAAGCTCCAGCTGCCTATGCTCAACTGACTGGTACATGAAGTCTTACTAAGCCAGATTCCTCATATTGGGCTTCCCTTTGCTATAAATATTCCCTTTGTCTTGATTAGGTTGTGACTCCATATACCAGGATGTCCCTCCATTTGGATACCCTCTTTACTCCATTCAGTATTCAGAATCTAAACGGGACTTGACACCCAAACTTAGCCTATCCATAGAGCTACTTTCTTCACTGCAAGGGCTCAAGGCTGCTCTTCCACTATCCCTGCTCTGCTGGGACTCGGATAATCCATGCACAATATCCCTGAAAGATGCCCTTCTCAACAATGAGCTCTGACCAAAAGTAGATACTTCCCTTGTTCTGCCCAAGGTAATGGCATTAGGACAGCATTGGCCAAGGAGAGACAGGAACCAAGAGCAGAGAAAGAACAGGAAAAAGAACTCATGAAGCACTTTTTTGTTTGTTTGGTTTGGTTTTGGTGTTTTTGAGACAGGGTCTCACTGTGTATCCCTGGCTGTCCTGGAACTCACTATGTAGACCAGGCTGGCCTTGAACTCACAGAAATCTCACCTCCCTCCTAAATTCTGGGATTAAAGGTGTAAACTGTCTACCCAGCTTCATGAAGCACTTTGAATCTGTTTAGAGAGTGAAACACTTAGGATGTTTTTGGTTCAAATAATAGAAGACACAACCCAAAGCAGTTAGAAAAGAGCCTCCTCTCTCATGGAACATCCAGGCTGGTTAAGGGCACAAGGGCTTGGAGAGTGAGGTCAAATGTGAAATTAGGAGGTGTCCAGTTCCTCCTTATTCTCTTGCTTTCACCCTGGCCCTTTCTCTGCTCTGTTTTGACCCAATTATCATACAACCCTTCCCCTTGTGGAAGCAGATTCAGGCTCGTGGTATCTCAGGATCACTCAAGTCAACAGGAATAAAACAGAAACTATCCTCCACCTAATCACTGGAGCAAAAAGTCTAACATCCAGGCATGATGATAAACACCTTCAAACCTGCCACTCAGGAAGCAGAGACAGGTGGATCTCCGTGAATTCAAGTCCAGCCTGGTCTACTTGGCAAGTTCCAGGCCAGCCAGGGCTAAATAGTAAGATTCTGTCTCAAGAGAAAAAAAAGAAAAAAGAAAAACAAACAAAACAAAAAAAACCAAAAAACATAAAAGGCTTGGCATTATACTACACTGAACCAGCCACTCTGACTAGAGGCACAGAATGTCCTGTGCCTCTGGAGTGACCCTGAAATACATACTCTACCTCTAAAACTACAATGGATCTCACTCAAACTCATTTCTGCAATGAGAATAGAGTGGTTTTTCCCCAAGGCAAAACCATAACTACAAACTCTAGGAGGAAAGTCCATGGATGCTAACAAACTAAAAGCAAGGAATGTTTAACTAAAAAAATCAGAGCTTGCACATGCTAAGATGGCACAAGTTCTAGGTAGTGGTTGTTAATTGTGAAATAGTGGCTTTGAATGGGTGCTCTTGTCACTAAAGGGAAGGAAAAGCCGCAGTGGAAGACACTTGACAGGAGAGCTAGAACCCACTTTACAAGGAAGGACGAGGACCTCTCTCAGCTGTGACAAAACTACCTGGTCAGAGCAGCTTAAGGAAGGAGGGGTTTATTCTGACTCACAGTTGAAGCACAGCTCATCACGGTGAGGAAAGTCTGGTGCCGGGGGAAGATGGCAGCTGGTCCCACTGGCATTGCATCTGCAGTCGGGATGCAAACAGGGAGAATACTGATACTCAGCTCCCTGTCTCTTTTTTATTTAGTTTAATAAATCTCACCCAAGGAATGATACCCCCCACATTCAGGGTGCATTCTGCCATCTCAATTAACCCAATCTAAAACTCCCTAATAGATATGTCCAGAGATTTGTTACCAAGGTAAGTAAGTATTGATCCTGTCAGGTTGTCAATCATTATAAACCATCACACTCTAGGACTTGTTTTTCCCAGGACATGATTTCTCTGTGTAGCCCTGGCTGTCTAGGAACTCACTCTGTAGACCAGGCTATCCTTGAACTCAGAGATCCATCTGCCTCTGCCCCCAAGTGCTAGGATTAAAGGCATGTGCCACGACTGCCCCACTACCCTATGACTTGTTAATGTATAATAAGTGTCAAAACACTTTTTATATGCATAGGAGACATGTGCCAAAATGCTTGTAGAGCAGTTCCTAGGAGTGAAATATTAAAGATACTGAAACACACATTGCCAGGAGAACAAATAATCCGTGATGTTATTCTACAAATTCAGTGGCTTGGATGAAAAAGTCAAAGCTACCGGAACACCATGATGAAGACGGTAGTGTAACGTTGAGTGAAAAGGCAAGTCCTAGGGCTGGGGATGGCTCAGAGTCCTTGAGAACCTGAGTTCTCAGCTTCTACTTCAGCTTACAACTGCCTGTAACTTCAGTTCCAGGTTATCAGGTATCAAATATCCTCTTCTTGTCTCCATGGGTGTGCACACACACGCGCGCACACACACATACACACACTCACATACAGCCATGAAGACATGCATACTCATAAACATAAAATAATTTTCTTTTAGGCACAAGGCTGGAGAGACAGCTCAGAAGTTAAGAGCACTGACTGCTCTTCCAGAGGACCCAGGTTTGTTTCCCAGTACATACCTGCCAGCTCACAACCATTTATAACTCCAGTTTCAGGGGACCTGGCACCCTCTCCTGGCCTCCAAGGACACCAGGCATACATGTGTATACAGACATATATACAGGCAAAACACCCATAGGCATAAAGAATAAAAATTAAGTTAATTATATTTTAGGATAACATAAAAGAAAAATTAAAACATTAAAAATTAAAAGCAAGTCTAAGAAAAATTACATATGGTTTGATAGTCTTTGTGTAATGTTTACAAACAGGTAAAACTAAACTATGCAACATTCATATACGACACAGTGACTGTTACATAATCAAATTTCCGGTAAGAGACGTAAGGAAATGGGGGATAGGACAGGGCAGAGGAGGGTGCAGAGGCTAAGCTGCTGATAATGTTCAAGTTTGATAGTAGATTCATCGTTGTTCAAAAGAAGAGTTAAAGAGGCCTGGAGAGATGGATCAGAGGTAAGAGCACTGGCTGTTCTTCCCGAGGACCTGGGTTCAGTCTCCAGCACCCACATAGTGGCTCACAACCATCTGTAACTCTAGTTCTATGGGGTGTGACACACAGACACACATACAGGCAAACACTCATAGACATGAAATGATAAGAAATTTTTAAATTTCTAAAAAGAAGAATGAAAGAGAATATCTGAGGCCTACTTCGGTGGCAGAGTGCTTCTTGAGCACGGGGGAGACTCTGACTTTAATCCTGAACACTGCAGAGATGGGATTTTAAAAGTGTAGGTGCAGGTGTGTGCAAGCGATGGTCAGGGACTATGAGTGAATGAGAACACTGGAACAAACCGTTCTTCCATAGTACCAAGGGAAGTTGTGCTTTGAGACTAGGCTAGATTCAAATGGGGACCTGAACCAGGGAATCTCATAATGCAAACTGTGCAGGTTACTTGGGTTTGGCCTTTTGAGAGATTGCCCCAACAGCTCAGGCTGCTTCCAAAAACTCATGATCCTTCTGCTTTAGCCTTCTAAATGCTGGAGTATAAGTCGTGTGTGTGTGTGTGTGTGTGTGTGTTCGTGTATGAGCACACATGCATGTATGCATTTCAGTTCTGGAGACTGAACTCAGGGCTTTGTGAATGCTAGGCAAATGCCCTACCACTGAGCCATATTCCCAGGCCAGCAAGTTGTGTTTTAGTCTTACAAATGTGTATGAAGCATTTACTATTGGTAAGTCCACTCTAAAGTGACATCTTTCTGGGGTTATAAATGTAGGAGTAGAAATGAGTGGCCACAAGGGACAGTGCCAAAGAGGAGAGAATAGAGCATGGAAGACAAATGGGGGAGTCACAGTGGGCCCTGGGATCTCCCCCGGCTGAGCAGTAGAATTCAAACAAAACCGTAGCTGGCATGGAAGTCAGTCACCGTGCTCAGAAAGACTGTTACTATGCTGGGTTCTGCGCGGAGCACATAGGTTAAAGGCTTTAGCTTGCTGTCAGAGGAAAATGGAAACACTTCCCACAGATGAGGGAAACTTCAGCTTGTTCTCTGCTTCTCACTCATGTCTTCTAGCTAAACTTCACATAAAATTTCCAAAGCCGAGCCTCGGTCATGAAGTCAAACTGTCTTCAAAGCAATTTCGGAGGTACATAGAACTGGTCGTATCTGAACTCAGGGGCAATGAAGACCAAGTTCTGGAAAGCGTTGTGGAATTCCTGATGGGTTCTTTAGAGAGGAGCCACGTTGAGGGTCTAAGGAACTGTGCAAGGCGAAAATGGCTCCATCAGATCCAATATGCTGCAGAGACAAGTGGGGTATCCCTGGAACCGGTGTACACTGAGACCTTCAGGGCCCTCACTCAGGTATTCTCCCTAAAATAACATAAGAGAAAGTATTTACTTGCAGTATGTGACATTCAGTGGCTGCACATATGTTCAAGAGGAACAGATGATGGAATTGGCTTGAAAACTTGTTGGATGCTGCAAAAGAAAAATCACCAAGCAATGCTAGAGATGATTTATTTATTATGTTATAAACAACTCAAACCTAGGGATGTAGTACGACTGACAGAAAGCCCAGCATGTATGAAGCTCTGGGTTCAATCCCAACTCTCGCTCACTCAGGTATGAGTGGCACTTACTGCAATCTCAGAAGGCAGAGCCAAGAGGATCAGAACTTTAAAATCTTCCTTGGCTATATACTGACTATAAAGCCAGGCTGGGGTGGGCTACATAAAGTTCTATGTTTAAATAAATATATAAAAATAAAGCAAGCTAAGTGAGATAAAGCTGGGATGGTTGGAGAAAATAGAAATGTGTGGAAATGATGTCCTGAACTTTTATTTGTTCTGAGAGCCAAATCCACCAAAACTAGATAATAGAATGATATTGAGAAAGGTGGTAAGGAGATACTGAACTCCCTCACCTTCAACTATGACTGTGCTTCCAAAGGCTCTAAGTTTTTTTTTTTTTAAAGATTTATTTATTTATTTTATTTATGAGTACACTGTAGCTGTCTTCAGACACACCAGAAGAGGGCATCGAATCTCATTACGGATGGTTGTGAGCCACCATGTGGTTGCTGGGATTTGAACTCAGGACCTCTGGAAGAGCAGTCAGTGCTCTTAACCGCTGAGCCATCTCTCCAGCCCCGGCTCTAAGTTTTGAACCTTTGAATTTGATTAGAGCTAAGAGGTTTTAGCTTGGCTTGCGGGTGTGAGTTTTCAGTAAAGCAACCTAACTACATATAAGACAGCCATTCCGCTGACTAACTAAAACTCAGGTTTGAAAGGCAACGTGGTTGTCAGCCTTTCCCCTACTGCCTATGACTGGTAATCTCTACATCATTTACTCAATAAAAGTATCCGTGCTAGATTCTCAAACAGACTAGCAAAGGGACTGGGGGATTTCTGAAGCTGATGACAAATACATGGTCAGAAATATTTTGCTACAGGATGCTGAGGCTCATGGACATAAGAAGATCAGTGCTCACATTTCCCTCCTAGAGGAAAACGTACTCCTGCCTGAGAGGGGGCGTGTTCTCCTGAGGAATGTGGCTTGTACTCTAGATGACGCTCCGTTTGTCCTGAACAAAGTGCTCTACAGGGACATGAAGGGAATCAGGTAGGAACGTGCTGAAGAGTCGGCTTCTTTCCGTCTAATGTTTTAAAGGCAGGAGCTCTTGTACTTCTGGCTGGCCTCCAACTCGATACGTAACCAAGACTGACCTTGAACTCCTGATCCTCCTGTCTCTACTCTCCAAGTGCTGGGTTACAGGTATGTGCCACCATGCCTGACTCTGGTTGCATCTTTCTAAAACAGGATTTCGCCTTCTGAAGTAACTTGGCCCATGAATCCTAGTGAGCTGCTCACGAGAGAACTGTCTCTAAGTGACCATGCTTCCAGAGTGGAACTTGGAGTGTTTTAAATGGTTTCTGCTATTGTTATATTTTTATTAATTAATTTGTGTGTATGGGTGTTTTGTCGGCATGTGTATCTATGTACCACTTACGTATCTGATGCCTGCAGAGGCCAGAAGAGGGTGTCAGAGCCCCGAGAACTGGAGTTACAGTCAGTTACAATTCACCATGTGGGTTCTGGGAATTGAACCCAGATCTTCTTCAAGAGATTCAGTGCTCTTAACTGCTGAGTCATCTCTCCAGCCCCATGATTCCAAATGGTTTTACCAGATCATTTCTAGAACTCACCCTGGAAATGACTCACCATTTAGGGATTCGGCTTGGCAATGTTGGCTTCATAATTTGTAGCCCCATCATCTGGTAAATATACCAATACACATATCCACGTGTATGTGCGAGTGTTTATGTATGTTATGATATATGCATGTATATGTATGTATTGAACTGAGTGTCTCACACATGCTAGAAAATCACTCCACTTCAAGCCCTAGGATTATTTTTTTAAATCTTTCTAAGTCAGACCCTCCAAACTGGTGATCCACCTCTCCTACATATAATGCTTAGAATCATAGAAAAGTAGAGTTTGTTTTCTCTATGGTTTAGTCTAAAGTCTGTGACTTCTCGCTATCCTTGGGTTCCTTTTCAACAGCTTTACAGTAGTGGATGAAGGCAAGCCAATCCATGTCCCCCAGGTTCAGCACCATGGAAATATCTTCTTCTGGAACAGTGCCCGAAGTAAGAATGAGCATAACGGGTCGTTCCTGGCTCTGCCTCTTCAGGATGCATATATGAGGATCTTTGGGGTCCTGGCAGTTGACACACTTCGAGATCCTCATGAAATAAACATCTTCTTACCTCATGAGATCAGATTCTATCAGGTAAGCTAGAAGTCCACAAGCTCAGTGGTCAATCGCTTCTCTATATGTCTTCAAAATCAACCCTGGAAGCAGAGGAGAGTAAAGACACTGTGTACACCGTCTCATCATGTTTCCTGTATGTAGCAGCCTTCTCACATGTTCCTTGTCATTTGTAGAAGGACTGGGATACACATGCATGCCTGAGCCTCTCTGGAATATTGCTCATATGTGCCTCAGCACTAAGCATAGGAATAGAAACTGATGCTTTGTATCAGAACTAATGACCAAACCACTGAGCCCCTCAAAATAGGAATGGACCTGTAGAAGGGTGTGCTGGCTAGTTTACACTGGTAGCTTGTCACAACCTAGAATATCCTGGGAAGAGAGTCTTAACGAGGAATGTAGACTAGGTTGGCCTGTGGATATGCCTGTAGGGGGTTATCTTGATTGTTAATTGATGTAGAATGACCAAACCTATTGTGGGCAGCACTATTCCAAAGACGAGGGTCGGTGGGCAGCACCTTCAAAGGCAGGGGCTACTGAAGGGTGTAAGAGAGGAAGAAGCTAGCTAAGCATAGCAGCAAGCGAGGAAAGTTTACTCTCTCTTGACTGTGCATGTGATGCTTTACACGGCTTAAGTTCCTACCTTGACTTGCCTGAAGTAACTGGAGTTAACCCTTTCTTCCCTGTTGTTCTGTGTCAGGATATTTTTTCATAGCAACAAAAGTGAAGCTAGGACAAAGGGATATATTTGTTTTCATTAATAATGTTCCCTATTGATCTCTTTGTTCCTTCCACAAGGGATGCTAAATATGACATGCATCCTCACAGCTCGTGGTTTTAGTGTTATTATTTCTGAGGAAAATGAAGAAACCCAAATATTTCTAGAGAATTCACATTTTCAAATTAGATCATGAAAATGACAGGCATATTTCAGACTATGAAATAGCTAGAACTTTTTGATCTAATTTTATGGATAGATTTAAAGCCCACAGAGCCTGGGGTCTGTGGCCTGTGGTAAGTCAGGAGCTGGCTGCACTGGCATTCTTTGTCCCTCTAAGCCCTTGTTCTTTGAGTGTGTTCACCATTACGCTTCTTCTGCTCTACACCTTATGGCTGGACAACTGAGGACAGCGGTGGGTTCTTTCTCTGATCATCGTTTTTAGTAAACTCATGCCCATGTCTAATGTGGGACAAAGGTATGAGAAAACAAATGGTAGAGTATAGAGTTGGCAGTAAACTAACTGCTTAGAGTCTCATCCCTGAGCATGACCAAATGATGATAAATTAGCTCTCTACTACTGGAAATTACAACACTGGGTTTCTCTCTCTCTCTCTCTCTCTCTCTCTCTCTCTCTCTCTCTCTCTCTCTCTCTGTGTGTGTGTGTGTGTGTGTGTGTGTGTGTGTATGTGTGTGTGTGTGTGATTTTAAAGAATTTGTGCTTCTTAGAGTTTTTTGACAAGGCCACAGTTGGAATCCCATTTGTCCCCTCTCTGTGGAAGAGTCCTTTGCTTATAGGAAGACTGTGTAACTGGCCTTTGTAGGTCTTGAAACCAAACATATTCTGTTCAGTTGACAGAATATGTTATAAAATCCATGGATATTAATAATAATAATAGTAATAATGACATTAGAAGCCAGGTTAATTCCAGGACTTGGGAGGCAGAGGTGAATCTCTAATCTGGTCTACATAGCAAGTTCCAGGCTGGGCAGGCAGGGCCACATAATGAGAACCTGTCTCAATGGATGATGATGATGATGATGATGATGATGATGATGATATCAAATAAGGACAACTAATAGCATTCTAGACTAAAATCTTGACTTTTGAAGGATGTTTTTTCCTTTCTAAGTTTATCTTCTTCTGACTGCACATATCATAAAGCATAAAAAATGTATAGGCCTCTCTTTACACTTTTGGTGTCTTATGATCCTTTTTGCATAGCAGAATCTCAAAGAGTGCCTCTTGGAGAACTGATTTTAACTAATTTATTGATCATAAATTTAAGAGACAATCATTGCTGAGCACTCTGTAATTTACAAAAATATGCAAGTTGAGTTGTCTGTCTTCACAGGGTGTTGCCAATGCCTTCAGCACGGCTTATCACCACGTTCACAGTAGGGAACACATCCTGCACACTGTGATTACAGGCATCAAGTGGCTCTTCAGTATCACGTCTGGCATCACCACCATCACTACATGCTTCATTGAACCTAGCTCAGAACAGGTAGGTAAAGCTGGGCTATGTTATATCTTTTCAATATTATACAGTTATTAAATATTAATGTCTTGTTAATATTTAAGAGTCATACTTTTGAGGATGTGGCTCAGTGGTAGATCACTTGCTAGCTTGCTCAAGGCTCTGAGTTTGATCCCAGGATCACACACACCAAAAGAAACAAGTAAATAAAATCATGATCCCAACTCATAACAAGTATCTACTAAAAATTGCCTTGGGCAAAAAGGAATATTGTTTCCACAAAATAAAGAAGAAGCAAGAGTCAGTCAGGGAGATGGCTCAGTGAATGCAGACACTTTTTTGCAGGTTTGATGAGTTTGATCCCCAGATCCCACAAGATGATAATCAGCTACTGGGAGTTGTCTTCTGACCTCCACAAATGTGGCAAACACACTTGCACACACACATGTAGGTGAGAAAAACACTGGGAGAGGATTTAGCTGAGCAAATCCAGGACCTTCTAAAGATAGACTTTCTCCCTCAGGCAAGTGAGATACTTAGGGAACAATTGAGTTTAAAAGTTTCAGTGTTTGGAGGGTGAGGCTAGAGACTTGGCTCAGCAGTTAAGAACACTAGCTGCTCTTGCAAAGGACCTGGGTTCAATTCCCAGAAACCACATTGTGGCTCACAACCACTTGCCCTTCCAGTTCCAGGAGATACAATGCCCTCTTCTAGTCTTTACAGGCTGCTGCCTGCACATGATGCATATGAACTCATACAAACCTACACTCCAAAATATTAGATAGATAGATGATAGATAGATAGATAGATAGATGATAGATAGATAGATAGATAGATGATAGATAGATAGATTGATTGATTGATTGATAATAGATGGATAGATAGATGATAGATAGATAGATAGATAGATAGATAGATAGATAGATAGATAGATAGATAATAGATGGCTGAATGGCTGGATGGATAATAAATGGATGGATGGATAGATAGATAGATAGATAGATAGACAGACAGATGGATGGACAGACAGATAGATGGATGTTCCAATTTGGGTGGGTTGGAGAAGTTACTCAGTAGTTACGTGCATTGGTTGCTCTTGCAGAGGACCCAGGTTCAGTTCCCAGCACCCACACCAAGTAGTTCACAGCTGCCTGTAACACTAATTCCCAGGGTTCCAACACCCTCCGTTGTCTTTTGTGTGTACCTGCCCACATGAAGTACACATATAGATAAGCAGGCACACATACATATATGAATTATAATTTTATTTTAAGTCCCAATTTTGAAACCTACAAAAGAAAATTTGTTCTGACTCATCCTGGGATGCATCCACTGGCCCCAGAGGTAACACATGCCAGAATCGTCTGAGTAATGCAGGAAGTGGCTTGAGTGCTGTTTTAGGACACAATTACATCACAGCAATAAAAAGTTTTAAAGGCTCCCATCTGTATAATGAATGCTCGCTCTGTGTTCACTTTGCTTCTTTCTATTCACCTTTAACGTTTTTCACATCATGAGGCTTGATGAAAAGATGTCTTCTTTAAAAGTAAGTAAGACCAAATAAGGTCATTCATGCTCAACTTCAGAGATGGAGGGAAAAAAATGATGAGTTCAAAGTCAGTCTGAGCTACATAATGAGACCTGGTCAGAAACGGAAAGAAAGAATGTCTGTTTTCCTCTCTCAGTGGCTTGGTCACACTGATGAGCCTTGGGCTTAGAGAGGAGACAAACATATAGAGAGAACTCTTGATGCTTGATAGAGATGCTGAGACTCTCTTGTCTCTGCATCATTCCTGGGGTAGATTAGGAACGGGAATGGGAGGTTCCAATTGTCCTCAGACCTAGTAATCCATCTAACAGGCCATCACCCCAGTGAGACCAAAGTGGGGTCTTAGGAGGATTTAGAAGATAACAACTATGGCAAATGGCCAAATAGCCCAAATCAATAAGCAAAGAGTGAGGCTTTCCAGTGTTTGATTTTAGTGTCTTGACAACATAGATAAAACATGATTGTGGTCCGTCTGCTCAGGGACATTTATGCTGAAAGATTAAGGGAATCACAGTCCTCTCAGCAGCCAGGGTTTTAATGATGGCACAGCCAGGAGAGGCTGCAACAGCTTTCAGAAATTGGTTCTCTTCTACCCATGTGGGTCCTAGGGATCAAACCCTGGTCACCAGGCATAGCAGCAAGCACCAAGTTCCTTTACTTACTGAGACATCTAACCCCCGCCCCCCACACACAAACACACCAAAAGGTTTTTGGTTGGTTGATTGGTTTTGGTTTTGCTGTGGTGGTGGTGGTGGCTGTTTTTTGTTTGTTTGTTTGTTTGTTTGTTTTGTTTCTCTGTGTAGCCCTGGCTGTTCTAGAACTTGCACCATAGATCAAACTAGCCTTAATCTCAGAAATCCACCTGACTTTGCCTACAGAGTGCTAGGATTAGCCACCACTGCCAAGCCCCAAAGGGGTTTTAAATATAATTTGAAATGTCTGTTAGATGTCTAGGTGGAAATATGGAATGAGCATTTGGGTTCATGAGCTGGATGTTTAAACAATCATCTTGCTGATGTGATAAAGCCCTGCCCCCCCCCACCAGTTGTTAGTATTTTATCCCTGCCTCTGTGTTCATTACAACATGACTTAGTTTTGATTTCAAACATAATCTGGAAAAAGCTTTTCAGATGTGTCAAAGGCTCTGTCAAGGGAATGCGAGTGGCCTAGCAGAACTTCAGACCATGACCAGCTTGCAGCTTCAGCATGGCAGTGCCTGCCAACTTCCCCTAGAGTGGTGGCTCTCAACCTTCCTAAAGCTGTGACCCTTTAATACAGACTCTCCTGTTATGGGGACCCCCAACCATAAAACTATTTTTGTTGCTACTTCATAGCTGTAATTTTGCTACTGTTATGAATTGTAATGTAAATATCTGTGTTTTCTGGTGAGTTTAGGAGACCCCCTGTGAAAGAGTCATTCCATCTACAAAGGGGTTGTGGCTTTTTAAGTATTTTTTATTTGTAATCTCCTTTTTGCCTAAGAAATTTTTACACAACTCAATAAGTATAAAAATAGGTTTACAAATTCAAAATTTAGTAATCATAGCTCATAAATTTATTTTTGAAAATTCTTTTGCTACATATATAATTGTATGTAAAATTATTAAAGATAAAAAGAAAGTTTGGGAGCCAATGAGGTAAATTAAAGGCTTGTCTGAATATTTGCTGCTGTACCACAAAGAACATCTCCAACAGTTTTAATGATTGATTGATGTGTTGATTTTATAGTCACCAATCTAAGAACACAGCTTTACATAGATCCATAATACGAAAGGCAGAAGTAATTTCGGGAACTGTGTCCTAGTCCCAAACAAAAATTCATTTAGCAATATTTTATGAAGCTCAAGTGAGCAACTCAAACAGCAATTTCTAAAATCAAATATTCTAACACATTATCCAAAAATATACTAATTTGATCCTTAAATGCTAAGTAATGATTGTAGAAAAATATTAAAAGTCTTTGTTTCAGCCCTCTACAGTAGAAGAACTCCTGAAGGTATCACCATTCCTGATTTCAAGCTATACTACAGAGCTATAGTAATAAAAACTGCATGGTATTGACATAAAAAGACAGGTTGGTCAATGGAATAGAATCAAAAACCAAGAACATAAATCCAGACACCTATAGACACCCAATTTTTGATAAAGAAGCCAGAAATACACAATGGAAAAAAGAAAGGATCTTCAACAAATGGTGCTGGTATAACTGGACATCTGCATGTAGAAGAATGCACATATACCTGTGCAGAAAATCCAAGCCCAAATGGTTAAAGACCTCAACAGAAAACCAGATACACTGAACCTGATAGGAGAGAAAGTGGGGAACAGCCTTGAATGCACTGGCACACAAGACAACTTCCTGAACAGAGCACCAATAGCTCAGGCACTAAGATCAACAATTAATAAATAGGACCTCTTGGAACTGAAAAGCTTCTGTAAGGCAAAAGACACTCAAAAGAACAAAACAGCAGCCTAAAGAATGGGAAAAGATTTTTACCAGCTCCATGTCTGAGAGAAGTCTGATATTTAAAATATATAAAGAACTCAAGAAACTAGACATCAACAAGTCAAATAATACAATTAAAAATGGGGTATAGATCTAAATAGAGAATTCTCATATTAGCCAGGAAACAAACAAATGTTCAACATCCTTTGCCATTGGGAAAATACAAATCAAAATGACTCTGAGATCCCACCTTACACCTGTCAGAGTGGCTAAGATCAAAAACACAAGTGACAGCTCATCTGACAAGGATGTAGAGAAAGGGAAACAATCCTCCATTGTTGGTGGGAGTGCAAATTTGTACAGCCACTTTGGAAATCAATATGGCAGTTTCTATGAAAACTGGGAATCGATCTACATCACAATCCAGCTATACTACTTCTGGACATATACCCAAAGGACACTCCATCACACCACAAGAATTCTAGATCAACTATATTCATAGCAGCTTTATTCCTAATATCCAGAAACTGGAAATAACTTAGATGTCCCTGAACCAAAGAATAGATAAGAATAAGTGATACATTTACACAATGGAGTGTTACTCAGCTGTTTAAAAAAAAATCATGAAAATTTCAGGCAAATGGATGGAACTAGAAAAAAATCATTCTAAGTAAGGTAATCCAGACCCAGAAAAACCAAACATGGTATGTACCCACTTATAGGTGGATACTAACTGTAAAGAATATTCATGCTGCAATCCATAGACCCAGAAAGGCTAAGTAATAAGGAGGGCTCAAGGGGGAATGCATGGATCTCCCTTAGAAGGAGAAATAGAATAGACATGGAAGAAGCACTAGGGGTGAGTGGGACCAGGAAGAGGAGGGATCGAGTGAGGAGGAGGATGAAGAGAGAGAGTACTGAGAGAGGTGACTAGAATTGGGAGGCATTTTGGGGGTGAGATAGAAACCTAGTGCAATGGAATCTACAAGGATGAGCCTCTCTAAGAGTCCTAGTGATGGGGGACACAGAGCCTGAACCGGCCCTCTTCTGTAACCAGACAAGACTTCCAGTGGAAGAATGGGGACACCAACCCAGCCACAAAACCATCATTCTACAATCTGTCCTGCCTATCTATAAGTTGTTCTGGGGTAAAGGTGGCACAGGATTTGTGGGTGTGGCCAACTAATGACTGGTCCAGCTTGAGACCCATGTCACGAAAGGAAACTGCCAGGACACTGCCAGGAGAGCCAGGAACCAGAGGCTGGATAGCTCAGAGACCTAGAATAGAACCAAACATGACTGGCAGAAAGAAAGAAAGAAAGAAAGAAAGAAAGAAAGAAAGAAAGAAAGAAAGAAAGAAAGAAAGGAAGGAAGGAAGGGAAGAAAGGAAGGAAGGAAGGAAGGAAGGAAGGAAGGAAGGAAGAGAGAAAGGAAGGAGCCCGTGAAGTGATGGGTAATAGTCTGCTGTACTCATAGATTGGTGCCTAGCGTAACTGTCATCAGAGAAGCATCATCCAGCAACTGATGGATGCAGATGTAAAAACCCAGAGCCAAACATTAGGTGGAGCTTAGGAAATTCTTCAGAAGAAGGGAGAAAGAATTGTAGGAGCCAGAGGGGTCAGTCAAGGACACCACAAGAAAATCCACAGAATCGACTAACCTAGGCTCATAGGGGCTCTCAGGGACTGAACCAACAATCAGGGAATCTGCATGGGTCTAACCTAGGCCCTCTGTACATATGTTACGATTGTGCAGCTTGGTCTTCCCATGGGACTTGTAACAGGGGGAGCAGGGGCTGTCTCTGACTCCTTTGCCTGCTTTTGAGACTTTTTCTCCTAATGGGTTATCTCTTCCAGCCTTAATATGAGGAGAGGTGCCGAGACGTATTGCAACTTGATATGCCATGGTTGGTTGATATCCTTGGGAAGTCTTCCCTTTTCCAAGAGGAGTGGATCTGGAGAAGAGAGGGTTAGGAAGATGGGGAGGGAAAACTGGGAGGAGAGGAGGGAGGGGAAACTGCGGTCCAGAAGTAATCCATGAGAGAAGAATTACCAAACAAGTCTTTGTTTCCCACAGTTGAAGAATTATTTCTGTAAGAGCAGAGTATTTTGTACACATAGAAAAAAACGCTGCAGTTCATAACACATCAGTCCTGAATCTGAGCTGGGGTGCTTCAGCAGTGTTCCTTGGTGATTCATGGCATGACCTGTGTGTCACGTGATGCAACACGGGCAAAGGCTGCAGGAAACATCTCAGTTCATTTTGAGTTTGAATTAATTGTTGGTCATTGGACATCCAGAAACTTTGAATGATGAAAATTTTATGTAACCTCCTAAATTCAGTGTGTAGCAGCTTACAAGTAGGAAGTTACAAAAATGTGTCATAAAGGTTGAAAACATCTTAGAAGTCAGGGAAATAGAGATAAAGCAAGGGGAATGAATTAGGAATATCAGTGCGATAGGAGGATAACCGGGGAGAGACCATCCCAAAAGCCACAGGAAGAAAAGCTTATCAGGAGTGTTGGCGCCTGCCCCAGGCTAGCCTGCCTATGGCAGCCACAAGCATGCCAGCCCCAGCCACACTGGCCCCAGTGGCAGCTAGAAGAAAGGCATGCAAGCGCCTGCCTCCAATGCCACTTCGATGGACAAATGTGTGACAGGGAGGTGGGAAAGATGGGAAAGATGAAAGAGAAAGCCAGGCCGAGAGTAGAAAGACGGATCTGGAGACTCAATGGCAGTGATGAACAGGCAGATAAAAAGAGGCCCTGATGAGGTCCTGAGCCAGGGGCTGTCGCCAAGGGCCATTTTGGAGGTCTGTAGTCCTGCTGCAGCTGTGGGTCTGTGTTGATGTCTCAGGCCCATGTCACCACCAAAGGCCATGCAGATGTCCTTGGTCTGGACTTCTGCCAGAGGCACAATGGTGAGTGGCCCCACCCCTCACTTGTGTAGCACAATAGAGCTGATGGTGGGGGAGTAGGGGAGCTGGCCCCAAGGGTGTGAACTCAGGAGAGCTGGCCCTGACCCTTGTCTGCTGTGGGGTGGGGTGGGCAAAGGAGAGAGGCACCCCCTCTTTGCCCCTTGTCACTTAGGTGGGTGAGCTGGTCCTGAGGTGTGGACCCTGCATCTCACTTGGTACTAAGTTCAATTCCCAGCAAGCAGGTATACATGCAGATAAATCACTCATACATAAGTTAAATAAATCTTTTTTTTAAAGTACTATTTTTTTTAAAAAAAGAATAGTTGTAGTAAAGTAGTAGAGAAAAATGACTTCATTGGAAAGTATGTCTTATTATACCTATTTTCCATGGGCTTCTATAAATATTTTCTAAGTGTTTTCCAGTGCTTTTTGTTGTTTACTGAGACGGTATCTTACATAGGCTGGTTTGGAATTCACTGTGTAGCCAAGACTAATCTTAAATTTATGATCCTCCTGTCTCCACCTCCCAAGTGCTGGTTTTACAGGCATGTACTACCATAGCAGGCCCGCAGTAAGCACAGAGCTTAGCTAGCTGTGGTGGCACACACTTTTAAACTTTGTACTAGGAGGCAGAGGTGGGTGATCTTTATGAGTCTGAGGCCAGTCTGGTCTACATAGGGAGTTCTAGGCCAGCCAGGGGTACAGAGTAAAACTCTGTCTCAAAACAAAACAAACAAGAAAAAAAAAACCTGAAGCAGGTAGTTTCATCAGAAATGTTTTTAAAATCTATGTATTATTCTTTTGAAATTCTTTTGAAAATTTTCACTTTGGGGGTATGGTTCTTTTAATGGCCCACAATATATATACAATGTCGATGTCCTTAAAGCCAGAACTCATTTAAACTTCCCTGATTTTTTCCCCTTTTTATGCATCCCCAAAAGGTCCGATGACTTCTTTCCAATGAGATGTCTTCCTGTTTTTCAGGAAGACTATGTTTTGCGCAATATGATGGTTACAGATCATCTCGGTCTAGCAGAAATCCACACAGATCCCCCGATTATCACCAGGAACTCATGCATCTTCAGGTATGAAGCACATCTGACTGGCATGATCATGGATGTGAAGACACGGCTCCTGCCCTGATTACTACACACACTTTTCTAATAGCTCATTTATATTGTTTAAATTTACTGAACAACACTTGCTTTGCTCACAGTTCTATGAACATCAGAGTGCATGTGTTCTTCCCATTGCCAGCACAAACAGGATGGGCGCGCTATTTTAGAAAAAAAGTTTGTTTAATCTCTCATTGAAGCAGGTGGGTAACCACTCTGCCCAGACCCCACCATGCCTCTGGTCATATTTCCTGCAGGGAAAGTTTCTCTAAGGAAGTGCCCTTCATGGTTAGAGCCCTTTAGTAGTTTCCCAAGGTTACCCTGAATTCTCCCACCCCATGCCCCCCCCCACACACCTAGAACAGCCAAGGACAGACGTGTGCTGGGATGCAAATGCCCTCCCTTGTCTTGGAATAAGACTTATTCTTTGGTATAATTGACATCCTAAATCTCCTTGGGACTGGGCTGGGCAGGCAGGATCCTGCTTCCTCAGTCCCTCACCGGCTTTTCCAAGGAGCACTTCCTCATAAATGACTTGCATGAATACCCTTGCTTCAGGCTTTGCTTTTAGGGAAACTTCAAGCATTCAGCTAACACATTTTAGACTGTCGGCACATTTCTTTAAAAACCACCTTTCAGATAAGTGTATCTAGGCCATGTTAGACAGCAAGGTAGATCCTCGTGGTGCTGAACAACCTGGGACTGCTACCTTTAGTGAGCTCGTCAGGGGAGGTGCTCTGCTAAAGGGCTGCTCAACCAGAGACATATCCAACTGAGGTGAGTCAAAGGATGGTCATGTGAAATTGGTGTGTTCTAGGGAGATGAAAAGGACCATGGCAGGTGCATCGAGGCAAGACAGGCGGAAGACAGTAATTTGGTATATTTGGATTTGGAATGCCATGGGCAGGCTGGTCTGAAAGAGACCTATGCTTATTTGTTTTGGTTTCAGGGACTTCCTCTTTAAATGCACAGACACTTCCGAAGTTATTTTGTCTTCTTCCGATGGAGAAACCCACATTGCTATTCCACTTCGCCAGAGAACCCAAGAGGCTATGGGTGTCCTCGATGTTAACATTGGCCGGAGTAGGATGTTGGTGTATCAAGAGTATAAAGATGTACAGAAAATGATGAAAATGATCCAGAACGTCTCCTATGAAATACTGGGCGAATTCTCTGGAGAAATCGAAAAAACTATGGTTATAGGTATTGTGGCTCCAGTAACAGTCTAGATTCCTGGTTTGCTTGGAGGAACCCTCAGACACTGAGAGGCAGGGTATATTTTCCAAAGTTAATTGCTTCACTATGTAGATCTTCCCATGTGAAGAGAATCCTCTTTTGCAGTCTTAGCCATACGGGTGTGTCTGCTCTGTAACCCAGCAAAGGGCATGGAATCAGGTCATCATCTCGGTTAGGGCCTTCCAGTGAGAGGCAAGATGGCCCATCTGCCATGAAACACATAAATACGCACATTCATTGCCTTTGTCATACACGTGTGAGGGCTGTGGCGATAGCCCATTTCACAGGTGCGGAAAGTGAGGTTTGGTAAACAGATGGTAAAAAGCTGAACTTTGCACGTTTTCCCCCTACAATTTGACACAGCATCAAATAATCCAACATATCATCTTACAGATTAACGAGCTAAAACCCACAAAGCCAGAGTAGATCCTCCCCCAGCCCAGCAAGTTTCGACAAGATGCCATTGGCTGGGCCAAGCCCAGTGACTCCACGGAGCATGGGCTACCCATAGCACAAGGTCATCTAAGACAGTGGGTTAGAAGAAGGTAACGAAACCCTCAGCTAGAACGAGCAGAATAGAATGACTTATGTCGAATGGAATGGATTAAGTGGAGAGATTTGTAGGTGTTATTTGGAGTGTGATAAGAAGAAAGGAGACCAGGCAGAGCGACAGCAGCCTGTGACCAGGCAGAGCGACAGCAGCCTGTGACACCAGCTCCCTCAGAGACTAGGGCAGGATGATCACTGAAAGAAAGGAAATAAAGGCGGGACGGGGGTGGGAAGACAATGCTTGTCCTGGGAGTGTTAACTACGTGCAGCTCTTGAGACTGTGTTTACCTTTTATTCCCAGCACTGGGGATTAAACCCTGAGACCTGCACATTTGTGGCAGGTCCTCTGCCACTAAGTTATGGCCCAAGCCCTATTTTTTTTCTTTGGTTTTTCGAGACAGGGTTTCTCTGTGTAGCCCTGGCTGTCCTGGAACTCACTCTGTAGACCAGGCTGGCCTCGAACTCAGAAATCCGCCTGCCTCTGCCTCCCAAGTGCTGGGATTAAAGGCGTGCGACACCACCACCGGGCCCCAAATAATTTTTATTTTGAGACGGGTCTCACTACATTGCCCAAGCTGGCCTTGAACTGACTGTAAAATTCAAGGAAGACTTTTAACTCATAATCCCTCTGCCTCAGTCTTCTACATAGCTAGGATTATCAGCCTTTGTTACCAGGCCCAGCAAGACTAAGCAGTGCATTCATTTAATTCCGTGCCTTGCCAAAGAAGTAGGATTGGCTCTGTTCCCACAAGCTTGTGTGTGTGTGTGTGTGTGTGTGTGTGTGTGTGTGTGTGTGTGTGTGT